CGTCTACCTCCACATCCCACCCCCCAGGCTCTCCCCTGCTCTCCTCTCCTGGAGGTCCTCTGGGGGCTACTTCACCTACAGGAACCAGAAGATCTTCTACAGAGGTGATGGGGACAATCTTGGCTGTCCCAGTGAGGAGGTGGCCACGGGGATGTCCCCAAGGCCAGGTGGGGTGATGGCAAATCCCTTCCACAATGTGAACCAAACCTTCTGAGCTGGGTAAAACCACAAAGTTTGGTTCTTCTGCAGACCTTGGTTTTGTTTGGGAAAGGATCCCAAGTCCCTGATGGGTCAGAGCAAGAAGATCCCAAAAGACCTGGTTGCTGAACCTGGTGCTGGTGGCCATGGTGGCCCATCTGGTTGAGTTTCCAAAGCCATCTTTCCAAGATCCACCTTTTAAACCCAGGCAGGGTGATGCCAAATCCTTTCCACAATGTGAACCAAACCTTCTGAGCTGGGTAAAACCACAAAGTTTGGTTCTTCTCCAGACCTGGGTTTTGTTTGGGAGAGGATCCCCAAGTCCCTGATGGGTCAGAACAAGGAGAAGATCCCAAAAGACCTGGTTGCTGGAGGGGTTGTTGTTAAGTTGTGCTGAATGAAACCCTGGTTTGCACCCAGAACCACTGATGGCCACGGTGGCCCATCTGGTTGGGTCTCCCAAGGCAGCTTTCCAAGGGCAGCAGGGAAAAGGGCAAGAGGGGATGGAAATCAGGGTGGGAAAAGCTGCTCCTGAGGTGCCTCCTTCCCTCCCCAGACTCGCCCGGCGCCGTCGGCAGCTCCGACGTCGTTGTCCTCCTCCATGGCTTCCCAACCTCCAGCTACGACTGGTGCAAGGTGAGGGGAGCAAACCCCAGGGTTTCTCACTCCCAGGGATGAGCAGATGGACCCTCTGGTCAGCCAGGGTTGGGTGGGTGAGTCCTTCTTCCTGGGATTTGATGATGTCCAAGGTCCCTTCCAAACCAGGAAGATGCTGTGGCTCCTCTCCCAGCTGCCTGGAACCCAAACTCTTCTCACATCCCCCTTTCCCACAGCCCAAAGCAACAGGAAAAGACCCAAAACTGCTTCTTGGTGGGTTTTGGGGTTGTGTTTGGGGTGGTTTTTTTGGGGGGGGGATGCTCTTGCTGTTTGTTGGGAATTTCCAACCTCCTGGGAGCTGGAAGGACTTCTCCTCTCTCTGCTCCCATTGCTGATGTTTCTAACGTCCATTTCTCCTCTCTCCCAGATCTGGGAAGGGCTGACCCAGCGGTTCCACCGGGTGGTTGCTCTGGATTTTGTAGGATTTGGTTTCAGTGACAAACCTGTAAGTAGCCTGGGAGTTGCTTTTTGTTTTGTTTTGTTTTTTGGTCCCAGAGGTGGTTTCTGCCTGGACAACAACCCTGGAAAATTGGTGTTGGAGTCCAGGTTCTTCTCCCATTTCCACCTGGAGATGGAATAAGACATTGTCGTGGTGGGAAGGATGAGGGAGGTGAGTGGTGGAGATTGGCTCTGTCACCATCTTGGCTTTATTGGGTTTGAGGTGACTCCAAAACACACCTTGGCCTCTTTAGGACATGGGCAGGGCTCCTGGGGGCTTGTGGACAAAACTGCTGGCCCAGGACATCCTGACTGCTCTGTCCAGGGTCTGGTCTCCAGCCCATATTCTTCAGTTTAGGTGTTTATTCTGGAGTTTGTGGGCTCATGGTGGGTGATAGAACCATGGAATGGTTTGGGTTGGAAGGGACCTTAAGCATCATCTATTTCCAACCCCCTGCATGGGCAGGGACACCTCCCACCATTCCAGGCTGCTCCAAGCCCCAT